CATTTTTACTATGGAAGACGACCCATCGCGAGCACACTTCCCGTGCGATCCTCCACCTCTACGAGCGCCGGGCGTGCAGAAGGAAGGGGTGGTAAATAGTAAATGTTCGATCCTCTGCGTCGCCGCGCCCCGCACGTCCCACAAACGTTGGCAAGCCTATCTATGCCCCTTGCTTCAACGTCGCTTGCACTATCTTCTTCTTCTTGCACATCTCGAACTCTTGACTCTCGACCACTTTCTAAGTCTTGCATTGCGGAAATATATGGCTCAGGGCCCTGCGTAAGATAATCTGGTGGACGCGACCTGACATGCACGTGCACTCCATACTTGTCGAGCATGCTGGGATCCCGTGGAACGAGAAGCCATCCCCCCAACGTCACGTACATGGCTGTTAAGACATCAGCCGTATAATGATATCGAAAAATAACAAGAGAAATCCCGACCAGTGTCAAATTCGCGATCGCCAATACGGGCAATAAACGGTGGTAAGGGAAGAAGTGACATATCATACTCGTGATCAGTACGGCATGCAGGGTATGCCCTGAAAACATCTGGTCTCCGCATCCTACACGGGGAGAACGAAAAGGATTGAAAATTTCCTGCGTGGTAGTTGGAGGAGACCAGGCAGACTGACAGTGACGGTTGGGTGGGGGGAGGAGCGTCACGAGGAACGTCAGGCACCTTAATGGGATGACGATTATGCCTGCAATAGCCATCCGTCTCATGATTAGGGCAAGCGGTGTCGGCAGGATAATGACGGGTCTATTTTCAGTATTTTGCACTGTTAGTGCTATTTTAGGTCCACCGAATCGAACATTGAGAAATATGCGAGCAAGCCACAGGAGCAACATAAGGGCGGCCAGAGAGCTGACAAAAAAAGTGGTAAGCCACTCCAAAGAGGTAGGCAGTCGATCTCCAGCATGGAAGGCCATGAAACCCAGATCTTCGATTGGTGGATAGGGAAAGTCAACAGGTGGATGATGACGCCAAGTGGAGTCGCTGTGCGGGTAGTGGTATGCTTTCCCTTGTGCGTAATAAACGAGATTGCGGGCAACAAGGTGCAAATACTCTATGAAAGCGAAACCTACGAGCCACAACCAGACTCGACGTAAAAGTAACCACTCCAAGCGAAGACTCCATTTTATGTGACGACTGGACTTGAAAATGCTGTCAGATGTTAAAGATTGGACTCTATCAGGTTGAGGTGAAGCCTGACGCGGAAATGCAGCATACTCGTATTGTGCCGATTCGGGCACCATGAAGGGTCTTGGCTGGAACGAAAAATCGCGGGCATCATTTTTGATTTCCTGTGTGTCCTCAGTAAATGTGGGCAGCGATGGCAGCCAAAACAATTGTGGTAGCTGCTTATTTGCTATCTGTGCGTATGACGGACAACGAGAGTAAAAATTACCATGATCACCTACAAGATGAAGAATATCATCGACCAAGTACACGTGGAGCTTTTGATCAATTTCTGTCACATGCTTGTCACGAAGATCGTGCACACGACGTCTTCTTCTTAAGAGGCGTGGATCCAACAAACCTCCCTCCCTGAAATAGAATTTTAACAGAAAACCGTTACGCTTCCCCCGGAATTTTTGAATTTCGGGTCAGGCGGCAAGGCCCATCATATCCCAGGCCAAAATCCCTGGGAAATGTACGCTTGAATCAACGGTGACGGTGGGTTCATTAGATCTCAATTTGATGAATATTGAGAGAAGTTTCGTATAGGCTTGGACTTCAAAACAAGGCAGAATGTGTTGGTCCAAGAACCACTTTCGTATGTTCTGAATTCGGCGCCTTTTTTTCTTGCGTCACCTCACAACAGAGAACAGTACCTGGAGGAGTGATGGCAGTAAATCCCCTGCATGAGGCTCCACCTTCAGTCCGCATTATAAAATCAACGGTTATTCCTGCACAAGGTACTGCTAACAGCAGCACCATAAATAGTACGAGCTCGCATGCCGTCTACGCCATCACCACAACCCCGCACAACAACCAAAACATCATCAACAAAAACGAACCCGGAGATTTGGTCCTCCACACCCTTTGTTTGGAGTTAAATGCATGGAGATGGCATGTGTCCATTCATTGGGCCCAATTGAACGATTTGGCAACAGCCCTCAGGCGCTGGCGTTGGAAGGTCTTCTTTTTTCGGTCGCTTATACCGCCGTTGAACCCACAGCGCTCCAAGACACGACCACCAAGTCACAAACATGCGCAAAGGGTGAAACCCCGCCCGAGGACACATTCAAAAGATGATGACTACGTGGACGGGTGGTCTTATGCTTGCGACCTTTCCTATGAAGAGGCGGTAGGGGAGAGCCAACAAGGGACGGGTGTCGGGTGGCGACCGGCCCGCAATTCACGGGGCCGTGGGCGTGAACGCACGTCCTGGGACAGGCACTTCCAACGAAACGCCGTCTCAGCTCCTCCTCTGTCGGCGGAAGAAACGCCGTCGGAGGATGACGTGGGAGACGACTTGCCTCCCCGGCATGGGCCCCAAGGTGACGAGTTGGACCCTCAGGAGCTCGACCGAGGAAACGTACGATGGCGCCTGCGCCAGGCCCGCTTGCAGCAGCGTCGAGAAGAGGCGGCACAGGAACGCGAACGTCGATGGGCCAGGCTGTCGCACCGGACTTCCTTCTCCTCTCGGAAACCCGTCTCCCCTAGCCCCCGGTCCGGCGATCTGCGCTGTCCTCTGACGCCCGCCCAGGCCCGCTTGACGGATCCTGTCTCCCTCGCCCACCAACGCACCGCTTGCGAACATTATGTCCGGGCGGTGCTCGAGGACGTGGTCAACCGGCACTGTCCCCAGCTCCTCGCGCTCCTGCAAGTCAGCCCCTACACGTTTGACCGGTCGGGGGGGCCCTCCCACCGGGAAGGGAGGGTGCTGACCTGCGCTTGGCGGTCCCGAGAGGGGGAACATCGCCTACAGGGGGGGCGAGAGGACGAGGGAGGCATGGACCTGGAGGGACTGGATCCGCTGGGGGACTCACCGCGGGGATTCAGTGCGTTGGGGAAGCGGGGGCCCTACAGAGCATCGAAGCTGAGGGAGGGATGGGCCGTACTCAAATCTTCCTACTTGGCCATCTATAAAGACGGAGGCTTCCAGTCGCCCCACGTCAAGCGGGATCGCTCCGCGGATGTGGCGGAGGCCAATACCCCCGAAGCTGTCTTGCTCTTCGACACGGGCACTACCCTCCAAGCCGCCATCTTCGAAGCTCCACGGTGCCTGGTGCTCATCAATCCCCACTGGCACTTCCAGCTCACCTTCCGGTCCCGGCTTGAACAGCGGGAATGGGCGGCGACCTTGGCCTCGGTCCTGAAGGCCTTTCCATGGGTGGAACGGAACCGTTTCGAGTTTGCACGCTCGTTGCCCCTCTCCTACTTGGATGACAGCGCTCAGAGCACAGCCCAGTGGTTTGTGGACGGTGCTGCTGCCTACCGAAGCATGGAAGCGGCCATCCAGGGAGCTAGGCGCTCCATTTTTCTGTCGGCGCCTTGGCTTTGTCCGGAGTTGTACTTGTTGCGCCCGCCCCATCGCTTTCCTGCTTCCCGGTTGGATCGGCTTTTGGAGAAAAAAGCGGCGGAAGGGGTTCGAATTTCCGTCCTGCTCTTTCAAGAACCGGAAGGGGGAAACCTCCAGTGGAAGAGCCGAGAAACCCAGGCGCGCCTGATGGCCTTGGCCCATATGGGCCGCATCCACGTCTTGCGCACCCGCCCTGCCCCCTTTCCCCATGCCTGGATTAGAAACGAGACGCTCCTGTGCGTGGACCAGGAGGTGGGCTTTGTCGGCTCCGGGCTCTCCTTCGGGCTGGGAAAATTCGACACTCCGCAGCACGTGCTCAAAGACGAGGCGGCGGTGGTCCCGCGACGCGTGCAGGATGCCCAAGCCCGTCCAGGAACGGGCGTCCAGGCACGCCGACCTACATGGTGCGGCCGAGACTACCAGAACCCGCTGGTCAAGGACATGTGCCTGGTGGAGCTCGCCCATACGTCCCTGGAGCTTCCTTACCATCATCGGGGCACGGTGCCCCGCCTGCCCCAACACACAGCCTGCGTGGCCGTCACGGGCAGTGCCTGCCACGACCTGTGCTGGCACTTTGTAAACCAATGGAATTCGGAACGGGCGCGAGAAATGGAGGCGCGCCACGCCATTCCCAACGCCCGCCTGCGTCAGGAAGAATTCCCCTTTGCCCTACCTCCCTCCTTGCTCCCAGTGCGCCTGAGGGTGGGGCCGTCCCCGGCGGGCGGCATCCGCCCCCACCACCTTCCCAGCCACATTCAGGCGGACACAAGCAGCGCCGAAACCGGTGGTCCGGCCGGGGTGGATGGCTTGGCTCGGAAAACCGTCACCCGCCTCGTCTTCGGCACCGCCTCCAGCGTTGCCCGCCCCGTCCCATCTACCGAGGAGGACCACGGCGGACCCCCCCGGGACGTGTTCGATGCAGTGGAGCAAGAGGCCAGCCAAAAGCTGAAGGAATGGTTGAGACCCCGGGAAGAGCGGCGACAACGGCGCCTGCTCGAATTGCAGCATGACGTGAATCTGACCAGTCAATGCCAAGTCTTGCAATTCCAAGCTCTGGTGGAGCCGCCCGTGGCCCCTCCTTCCAGTCGCTCATGGGCAAACGAGGAGGTAGACACGAAGACGTCCTTGTCCTTTCCTCGGCGGCACCCGTCCCAGGGGTGGGCGATGAATGAAGAGGTGGAGGACGATGCCGTCGGGTGTCAGGACCGAAAAAGCAGCAGCTCCAGCCACCGCTCTCCCCAGCTGTGCAGGGACGTGAAAGAAGACAAAAACGTCCGGGTATATTCCTCTCCTCTGTCGGGATCCGCTCCCTCTTCCCCTTCCAAACAGCAGCTGGACCTGCTGGCAGAGGCTGCCAAAGACAGGACCGGGACCTCGCAGCAAGGCCGAAAGCGTCAGCAGCGCATGCACCAATACCTACGTCTCCGTCGAGCACTGCACGTGCGGGAACTGGAAGCGGAGGAGGAGGAAGAAGTCTCCCTCGGTCCCTTGGCCTCCTGCCACTGCCGGGTGGTCCGGAGCCTGGGTGCATGGAGCGGGGCCCTGCTAGAGCCCCAGCGCAGCGTCTTGGAAGCCTACGAGCAGGTCATCTCCAACGCCGAGCACTACCTGTACTTCGAGAACCCCACCTTTATCAGCGGGGTCCAGGGCACCGCGGATGTGAGCAACCGGCTGGCGGAGGCCCTCTTGAACCGCATTGTCCGAGCGCACGACAGCCAAGAGACCTTTCGTGTCGTCTTCCTCCTCCCCCTCCTCCCTGTGTACGAAGGAGGCTTGCACGGCGCCACCCCGCCCATGCTGACCTCCGCCCTATACCAGCAGCTAACCTCCGTCAACACGCTCTGGCGCCGTCTCCAGGACATGGTGCCCCGTCCCGACGAATTCTTGCAATTCTTCGGCCTTCGTTCCTACACACGCTTGAATGGGGATCCTGGGAAGGGTCTGGCTCCCCACTTGGTGTCCGAACAGATCTTCGTCAACAGCAGATTGCTCGTGGCAGACGACCGGTACGTGGTGCTTGGCTCGGCCGCTTTGAACGACCGCTCCTTGATGGGCACGCGGGACAGCGAGATGGCCTTGGTATTGGAGGACACGGTCTGGGAGCCCGGGGCCATGAACCACGCGGACTACCACGCCGGTCGCTTTGCCCGCTCCCTGCGCTTGCGCCTGTGGGGCGAGCACGTCGGCCTCCTGGACGAGTACGTGCAACGGCGGGTGCTGGAAGCCGCCATGATGGAGGACGGCAGGGAAGAACTCCTCGACCAAGAGCCTGCGCCCGAGGACGTGTACGCACCGTTGCTGGATCCGTCTGCTGCGGCCACCTGGGCCTACCTCCGCCGGGTGGCTCGAAAGAACACGGCCATCCTGGCGCACGTCTTTCCGCAGGCATTGCCCGCCCACACGGTGCGAAGCATCGAGGCGCTTAAACACGTGGTCGTGGACGGCACAGTCTCGGAGGCTACCCGGACGTTTGTCGAGGAAGTGCTGGGAGAAGAGCGGGCCCAGGAGGAGGAAGAAATCTTGATGGACGCGCTCTTGAAGGAAGAGGAAGGGGAGAACGATGGAGGCGCCTTTGAGGACGTGGGGGGGGTGATCCGGGGGGGGGAGCACCGAGACGCTGTCAAGGAGAAGTTGAAGTGGCTGGGTCGGCTCCAGGGACACCTGGTTGAATACCCGAAAGAGTTTCTGGCGGACGATTTAACCTCCTTGCGGCCCGTAAACGGGCTTCAGGGATGGAGCCTGTGATGGGACAGGGGGATAGAAAGCACATTGCCCCATTTGCTGGCAAGTGCTATGGTCGATGTTGGCGACGAGGAAGATAGCTTTACGATCCGTTTTTGCCAGAGCCATTGGATCAACTGAAGGGAAGTAATTCGAAACTTCACCCATTCTTTTCATAGCATCAACGAAATTTGCATACAATGGAAGCTTTGCCTGTCAGTGGTACCATGTCCGGCATCGTCCTGCTCGCAATTTCTGCTTTTTGGGTTCAAGAGATCCTTGCGCAGTGGTTTCATTTTCGTCCATCCCTCTTCTCCCATTCGCTCTCTCGTTTTCCCATCATTGGCTGGTTTTTGCTTGATCTCAAAATTTACTTCTTACTCGGCCATCGATTGCTTGTTCACTCCTTGCGGGAAGAGGGCCAATGTTATTACACTTGTGTATCGTTTTCGGGCTCGCGGGGTCGAGTTGCCAATGTGGAGAAGTCACGGGCGCCTTCAACAATTCAATAACCGATACCTCAAGCACACAAAATCGTCCTTGTCCTCCTCTTATCTCTTGCTCAAAAGCTAAAAAACTTGCAAGCTACCTCTCTCTTGTACCCTGCGGCGTCTCGAAACTCGAACGATCGCCCTTTTATCCCGCAATCCTGCTTGTCCTAAGACATGTGGTCCATTCTGCAGACAGTAACTAGAAGGCTCGCGGTACATTCCATGCCAATGACTCTTCTTGTAAACAAATATCGGGGTTTCTAAAATCAAAAAGGCTTCCTATCGCTTGCTTTGCTCAGCACCACCACGGTCGCCGTTCTCCTCTATCGGGTTTGAACTCAAGGTCTCCCAGTGGCCTATCTATAATACGCCACTTTTGGGCATCTCCTAGAGGATGCTACATGTATCGCGTAGCGAAGCCATCAAAGCCGACTCGTTCCCGACCGCCTGGATTTTGGCCACGTCAACTTTTTTTTCCTCTGCAGCCAAGCTGCCGTCGTATTTCTAAGTCTAAAAGCAACACATCTCCCGAAAACGGATTTCAAATTTTCTGCAACTAAATAGAAAAATACATAAACAACTTTGCCTTGTCAAGGATTCGCATTTCTAACATGTTACTCAATCAGAAAAAATTTAAATTCTAACAAGTGACGGCTTCGAACCCAAAAAATGTAAATACAAGAATATCAAACACACTTGAGACACCAAGAGACATATGTTCATACAAGCGGATTCTAATCTGTTTACTGATCTAGTCTTCACCAGCTCGAATGAATCACCAAGGATACTCGTACGAAAGGCGAGGGGGGAAAAGGCAAAGTAATGTGGGACTATAAGTATCGCAGCGCGAGGCCTAGGACCCCAGGCCCACGAAGGTGCTCCGCCGGAGTCTCCGTAGCCTTCCCTTCTCCTGCCTCCTGGACGCTCTTTCCTGGGAAGGACCTACGAATCCCCTTTTTCCCGAGACATGTCTTGATTGGATGACGTGTCTTGCCCTGATGCCTCCAAATTTTGCCGGTCGACCTGATATGACAGCTGCTGAAGCTCGCGGTATTGTTCTCCATGTGGCTGGAAGTGTGGGGGTGGAGCGTGCGCGGGATAGCAGTCTATAAAGGGACTCGAGTCCCGTGCATTCGGAAGGGAAGGGGTAGGTATCGGAGGAGGCAGCAGCTGACGAGGGAAGAAGGGGTGGGGCTGGAGGGAGGAGATGCCCGCGCGACTGCGGTGCTTCTCCTCTCCTCCCCTCCTCCCTCCCTCCCTCCCTCCCTCCCTCCCTCTGGTCTGGCGTTCGTAGAACCGTGCAAAGCCTCCATCATCGATAAAGAGGCATCACCACGCACAGAGCGATTAGCGTGATCCGAGGTCGAGATGGTGACGGGGGGAGGGAGGGAGGGAGGGAAGGGAGGGTCCTGCGGGCCGATGGAGCCATGGTAGGAGGGAAAAGAGAAGGGAGGGGAATTGTTGACGGAGCCGCCTTCCACCCCTGCCCCAGCCCTCTCCTGGCACGTCCCCTGCGACCTCGAGAGCTCGCGGGCCTGGCGCGTGATTTCCCTGGCAAGGGAGGGAGCCGAGGGAGGGACGGGGAGATGAGGAAGGAAGGGAGGTGGTGAAGGAGGGAGGGAGGAGGTCAGGGGGGAGGCGTCGAGCAACGGCGGTGAAGGGATTTAGGCACGTGCAGTCATCGTAGGCACTTCCTTGACCTCTTTGTCATCCCCTCCCTCCTTCCCTCCTTTCCTCCTTCCTTCCCCCTCCGGTCCTGCTCAGCTACCACCTGCTCGCACAAATTCCCTCCTGCCCCTTCCCTCCCCTCGCTTACTCCTCGTTTCCAGGAGAAAGGCTGGCGCCACCTGTCCCCGCCTATGTTCTCCGCCTTCTCTCTCCCTCCTTCCCCCTTACCTGAACCGCTCCACGGCCCCATCTGCCGAGAGGACGCCCACCACCGTGATCCGCACGCTCTTCCCCAGGCACTTCCCTAGCCGACGTCCCGACAAGCCGAAAACCACCGGGATGTCATGTAGGGCAGCCAGGGACCTAGGGAGGGAGGAAGGGAGGGAGGGAGGGAGGGAGGGAAGGAGGGAGGGAGGGAGGGAGGGAGGGAAAGAAGTTGAAGATGACAAGACAAGCCAAGGCGTTTCTTGTGTGGAGGAATACGGAAAGGGACGCTTAAGTGAGGGTAAAGAAGAAAGGGAGGGAAGGAGGGAAGGGGAGAAGGAGGAAGGACGGGAGGGCGGGAGGGAGGGCGGAAGGGAGGGCGGGAGGGAGGACCTGATTTCCCCGATCTCCTGGTCGAGGGCAGGGGACCTCTCAATGTCAGGGGCGATTACCACGAACTGAATCTTTCGGCTTTTTGATGCCTCGCATGACCTGAAGGGAGGGGAGGAAGAAGGAAGGGAGGAAAGAGAGACGAAGGGAGGGCTTGTGAGTGTGAGGAGTGGCTGGGAGAGAGGAAGGAGAGGAGCGGGTGCTGACGCGGTACAGTGTCGGGATCGTGGCCGTTTCGCCTTCGAATTCAAAATTTCAAATTTGGCACCGACCACAGAAGCGGTCAAAATGAGAGGAAGCGAATAGAGGAACAAAGG